TTAACGAATATATTTAATTATTTGTTATCAATTAATAATTCAAAAAGATATTTATAACAAGTTTAATTTCATTTAGAAATATAAGATAAGATGAATGGAGTCTGGTGTAATGTTTCTAACACAAATCCTAGAAGACCCGTAAGTAGTAGTCATTTTGGTTGTATCACCCATCTATATCAAATTGCATTGTTTGATAAACATGATAAACCGACGAATTATAATATTACCGTTGACGAGGATAATTTAATTTTGATCAAAAAACACAAGTGGTATCTCAAGAATGAGATTGTGGTAAATGAAAATGGTGTTGCTTTAACAGAAATTCTTACCGGTGCCACCAATGTTGAACTGAAGGAAGGAAAAAAATGTTTTTCATGAAAGAATCTCGTGATATATGGTAAGAGTAATTTTATTATTCAATATTTTTATTGCTAATGATAAGTATTAACTCTTACATATGGGAACCGGCATATGAAATGTGATACCTCATTTCTTTATTTAGATGATTCTACAAATAATGAAGATATTTGCATATTTACAAAAGTTAAAAAAAAAGACGAGATACTTGGAATAGGAATTTATTGTCCTTCATATCCAGACAAAAGTATTTTCAAAGTTGTGAATAAAGATTATTCTATTCAAGAATTACAGATTTATGCTTTGATCGAAGCAATTAAAAATTTTAGTATTTTTAACAAACCGTTAAATATTTTTACCAGTAACAAGAATATCTGTTCCTTATGGAATAATGATAAGTTTAAAAACTTTAATAAAAAAAATAACAGCATACAAAACAGTCTATATGAAGAATTATCAAATTTGTTAAAAAAAAATACAATTAAAATCATGTTTGATAAAGCCAAAACATATGAGAATGATCTAAAAATTAGAATCAATGATTTGTTTAAGTAATTTATAATTAATTAATTATATTAGCATTGAATATCTCGTCTAATTTTTCATATAAATCATTTTTGTATTCTGTTTTGAAAATACTATTTCT